CCCACTCAAGGAGCGCACGGCACTTCAAAGTGCTGTACGCTTGCACAGGGCGGGGGCAGGACGCAGGAAGCTTCACGCAGCTCCTCCACTCTCGGACCAATCAAGGCTTGGGGGCGGGAGTGCGTGATGTCTCCTCCCGCCCTGCGACGAGCATGTAGCACTTTCAAGTGCCGCGTGCTCCCCGCAGGGCAGGGGTAGTGTGAGGAGACTTCGGGCGCTCCTCCCACCCCCAGGCCAATCAGGGCCTGGGGGCGGGGGAGCTGCACAAAGCTTCCTTCGCCCTGCCCCGGCCCTGCTAGGAGCACATCGTACTTCCAAGTGCCGTGTGCTCCTCACAGGGCGGGAGGAGGCTTCGAGCACTCCCCTGCCCCCAGGCATTGATTGGCCAGGGGGTGGAGGAGCATGCAAAGCCTCTTCCCGCCCTGCTAAGGGCATGGGTGCCTAGTGGGATGGGGGGCAAAGGGGCTCCCCCACCCCCAGACCAATCATGGTCTGCAGGTGGGGTAGCCCAGAAGCATCCTGGCTCTACCCCTTCTGGTTTAGGCCTTGCACCTTCCGGGATGCCTGGTGGCACTTCAAAAATCATTGCCCACTCCTATCCTAATGCCTATCTTAATATGGCATCACTATTCTAATTATTTGATTAAAATTTGTTCACTCCTTTAATTTACTTAACAGATTTCATTAAAAGAAGGCAAGCTCCAAGAAGTAACACATAGATGCAAAAATGGTTACAGCAAAGGTAGAGATGTTAAATTTAGATTGACTAATTGAAGTGTAGTCCCCAAGGCTGTTGCTACACTTCAAAGGCAAAAGCGCTACAGGCACAAGCAGTCCCCTGCTGTCCCCGTGCTCACCATTGCACTTCAAAGCGGCAGCGCCACATGGAGCTGGGGTCAGCGGGAGAGTCCAAGGGCTTCACATGGTGCTGCTACTTTGAAACAGCGTGTGCAGCATGGGGCCAGCAGGACCCAGCATTTCAAAGTGGCAGGACCATGTGGAGCCCAGGGTCTGACTCTGGGCTTCACATGGTGCTGCCACTTTGAAGTCCTCTTCTTCCTCCCTCCCCTTCCGGCTGCCTCTTTCTGACTAGCGCGCCAACTATCTGATAATAAATAAAAAAAAGAAAAGAGAAAAAAGAAAATAACAGAGGCAGCAGCACAGAGCAGCAGCAGCCCCTGTCCACAGACAAAATGCTGCACCAGCATCCCACAGAGCAGCTTCTGTCCACGGCAAGCCTGGTCCTGCTGCGCACAGAGGCTTCACCGTGGCAGCTTCCCGACTGCCCCCCAGCTCCTTCTCTGTCCCGCTGCCTCTGTGGGCCAGACTTATCGGTTAATCCTGTAGTCAAATATAGATTAACAACCCTAATGCCAACACACAAAAGCTGGCAACTTTGGGGCAAAGTATGTTTAGACTAGCTCCCTCATTTAACAGATCTTGGCTCCATTTTTAGCTTCCTTGTCATCACAAATATGTATACGCTTCCCACAGTGCCTGAGGACATCTTTCACTAGACACTCTGGGAACGCCACGCCTCTTGGGAACATGAAAAACAGCCTTTGTTTCCCAGTCTGCCATGGACTTCCAGCTCCCTTTCACACCATCTGTAAAACTGCCAGTCTTTGCTGTGCACTCCAGCATCTGCAACAAGAAGGCATGGATCCCACACTTCTCTTCTATGCTGTGTTCAATGTCACGAGGACATGATGTACTGCAGCAGAGTTACAGTTGAAGTTCTTGATAAAGGAAGAACAGTCGTAGGCAGACGACTCAGTGTGACATGGACAGCAGCAACCTGGCATTGCATTGAGCTGTCACAAAGCACCTGTACTTGGTAGACCATCAGCTTCGGGCTATGGAAACCAGCACAGAGTATGTGTGTTGGGGGAGGATCGTATTGTCATACCCGTGTGGGATGAAGACTAGTGGTTACAGAACTTTAGGATGGGTAAAGCAACCTTCCTAAATCTATGTGCTGAGCTGACCCCCAATCTGTGGTGCAAAGACACCCTGATGAGAGCTGCCCTCTCAGTACAGATGTATGAGGCAACTGCTGTGTGGTAGCTCTCAACTTCCAATTGCTACAAATCAGAGTGGAGAAGTCTACTTTTGGGGCTGCACTTCAGCAAGTGTGCAGGGCAATAAATCACATTCTGCCACCAAGAAATGTGACTCTAGTACAAGTTTCTAGGACGGGGTCGGCATCCTAATACACATGAGCCTTCAGTGGCACACAGGCCAATTTTCATAGGCATGCGAGTGGGAGTTCAGTCCACCCCACATAGCAGAGAGCCGGCACTGGCCAATGAGCCTCACATCTGGCAGGCAGGCAAGCAGGCCAGCTGATAGGTGTGTGGGGGTGGGGAGAGAGGGGAAGAGTACAGAGGTGTTAATGGCTTAGATTTACAAACACCTGAAAAGACGGAGAGGTGCCTAATGCGAACTGCATTTATTTTTATTTGACTTTTAATGGGAGTAACTTCTGGGCTATGTCTACACTGCATCCATTTGGCACAAGAAACATGCAAATGAGGCTAAGTGTGGAATATCGCCGTGTCTCATTTGCATAATTAATGAGGCTCCATTTTTGCGCAAAAAACCCCTCTTGTGCAAGAGCCGTTCTTGAAAAAAATGGGGAAAAACAGCTCTTGAGCAAGAGGGGAAAACAAAGTATTAACTTATGAATGTTTTCATTTCAGTGTGCCAAATGAACCCATTTTTTCCTACTTTCAAAATTTTCTCCCATCCCTTAAAGAAGTTAGTGACATTTTTACTTTACAAAAAGCCCCTCCAAAAACTGGTGCTAGTTATAAAAGACTTTGAAGGTTGAGTTAGTGAAAAGTCATGACCCCGCCCCCCCCTTTTTTTTTTTTACACACACACACACACACACACACACACACACGGAACTATTTTGACAAAGGTTGACAGTTTGGGATGAGACTCTCCCCCCCTTTAAAACAAAACCGAGTCCTATCCTGCTTCCTAAAAGAAAAAATAATTAAAATTTCAATCAGCTCAGTGTTATACTTCAGCTCCCCTTAGTGCTACCACACCTTACAGCAGCAAGTATTTAACTGCAGTGCAGACCTACCCTTAGCATGCTTGCTCAGCTAAAGATAGCAGGTGTATGTCTCCTTGAGTTGTAACTTACACCACCAGCTGTAGTGCAGATATACCTTTGCGGGCTTACCTGAGCTCACTCAAGAAGTCTGTGATGAAGCCAAGAATTACACATGTATCCCAAAGTAAGAAATAAAAAGATTCTAACAATTTTTTTGAGTGCTACAGATATCTAAAACACTGATCTTCATGATTTTTTTTTAAATCCTGTGTTACTGAAACAGTAAGATGTGCATCTTTATTTATTAATGAAGCTGCTGTAAGCAGGACTATTATTGACTTATAAAGTATTGATGGCACGCAGACCCGTTAACAGAAGTGAATGAGTTAAATCTCAGCACACCACTTCTGAAAGGTTGCTGACTGCTGCTCTAGGATATAGTGGCTGGCTTTGCAGAAATGAGCTTTCCTACCTGTCATGGGACCATAGAAGGCACATATTCCAATTGTAGCTCCAGCCCACCTTCTACAGAGTACATCAATCAGAAGGGATACTTCTCAATGGTGCTTCAGGAGCCTGTAGATTAGGGATGTGAATTGGTGACTAGTAAGCATCACGCTACCCTGTAAGCATCACCAGGTAAACAGTTAACCTGTTCCCCAGGAGCAGACCCCTGCCCGTGGCCTGCTGCGGGTGAGGGGATGCTCCAACTCCAACAGCCCCATCCCCTACACAGGGACTGGGCCCTAGCGGGGAATGGGAGCGGGAGCCCCACAGGCTGGGTGTATGAGTTGCGTGTGGGTTGGAGCAGTTCTCCCCCTGCTCCCCGTCAGGATCCTGCTTTGTCAGTTAATTTGTTAAATGTTAGGTTAACTGATTAATTGGGATTTTATGTCCCAATGAATCACTGTGGGCATTCCACACACACCCACAAAATGTGAGTGGTCTGGAAAAGTGCATGACACATGCATCTTCAGGAACACTGGCCAGTACAGAGAGCTGTAGGCAGTAACTTTCTTTCCAGACCACAGAATTACAGTGAGGGACGTGGAAATGCACATAGTGATCCTGTACAAGGCACCTGGACAGCAGGCTGAGCCAATGCCAATGGTCATGGAATGTGCCTTCGGCAGATTGAAAGAGAGATGGAGAAGTCTCATGCAAGCTAGACCTTATGGAGGATCATATCTTCATGGTTATAGCTGCATGCTATTTGCATGATGTGTGAAAACGTTTGCCTTATCAGCATGCTTACCAGATAAGCAGAGGGGATGGCTGGTGGGAGCAGCCCCATGCACATGACGACGTGGTCAGCAGGACCCCAGAAGGCCTAGAACAGCTCCCAGGGCTAGGGGTTAACTAGTTAAATAACTTGTTTAACCAGTTAACTATTTTAGGCCATTTTTACATCCCTAGTGCACAGTTTGAGCAACCAAACAGTAGAACTGTCAGGAGTTACCATTAACATCAGAGAGGCTTTGAGGAACCACTTTGACAATGAGGGGTGAAGAAAGGGCTCTCTTTTTGGGTTGCTTCCCTGCTGAATCCCATTGCTTATCACAAGTAATGCATTTCTGTGCAAGAAAGGGATTTAACAGCCTGTATCTGGGACCTTAGGCTACGTCTAGACTGCAAGCCTCTTTTGAAAATGAGCGTCTAGACTACAGCCAGTACTTTCGAAAAAAGCAAGCCGCTTTTTTGAAAGAGCACCCAGGCTCTGGATGCTCTTTCGAAAAAGCAGTTTGCATTACATAGTGCCTTTTTTCAAAAGAGCACTTTCGAAAAAAGGCGTTCTTCCTCGTAAAATGAGGTTTTCCACAGTCGAAAAAACTGCCACGTTCTTTCGATTTACTTTTGAAAGAATGCGGCAGCAGTCTACATACACCCTTAGTAATTAAAATGGGTTGTGAAACAGAAAATAAAGTCATTGTACCATTAAAAATGTTTGCCTTTATTGATCACTGCACATCATGGTCACACACCTAATGATCAATATTTGCTGGTAAGGGTCAGGGTAAAGCCGCACAACTGTGTGAAAGTTCAACTGTCATAACAATTGTGATAGAGTAGAGTGGAGTGGAAACAGTAAAAAGGAGCATGTGGGTGTGGAGGGTGGGTTGCTGGACAAAGAATTCTGTATGTACTGCAGGGTAGGCCAAGGCCTGTTCTGCTCCCTCTACAGCTTGATTAAATATTTGAGCATCTTAGTTTGCGCCTTCATACGAATGAGTGCACGATCAAGGTTGTCTTTCCTATCTTGCCTTTCACTCAGCTATCGCTCCTCTTTCTGCTCAACTGAGGAATGGTTCAAAACCTCCCTCACAAGATCATCCCTATTTTGCCTGGATCTGCTCTTTAGGTGATGCAGTCTGTTGCTGGAAGAAGTCTTCTGAATTCTCAAGGCTTCATCTGTAACACAGAATGTAACAAGAGGGATTGTTAAGTTCCTGCTCATGATTGAAATAATTTCACTTACAAGCATCATCTTCAACATTTGCAGCCACTTGCCCGGTGGCCCTTGCAAGACATACATACATCTCTGCAGGCACTGTGAACATGGTGAGTTTGGGGGAAAGAAAAGGTGAGGTGGAGGAATGGATACAAGGGCATAAAATACAGTCCT